GTACATTGTAAATGTGCAACCACCTCCCCACCTCCAGGCTCCTCCTCATATTACATGTAGTCTCAGACACTGGGAACTAGAATTTTCTCCTCGGATTGAATGTATTTGACTCAGTGCATCTCAAAAAGTGAAAAAAAATATCTATAAAATAAAAACTTTGTACATTAATGTATATTATACTTGGGGAGCTGTCTTAGAGATGTGTAACTGGGGATGGTATTCAACCTGGCCTTTAAGCCTTCCAATGTTCATGCCTCCACTACTGATTCTGGTGTAAGATATTAATTTAGTTTGTTACTCTGTCCTGTCTAGATCTTAGCATGGCATGCGATGTCCTCAAGTTCTGCAATCACTTGCTGTGAACTATACTACTGGAACTGCTTAACAGCCTGTAGATATGCTCTGTGTCACCAAAAGAGTAATAACAAGGTAGACAAGTGCTCGAATGTATGAAAACACATTACACTGTACAGTGTAACAGTAATATGTCTAACATATATGTAATTGTTTACATCTATACATTGAATTGTCATATATTAAAATCAGCATTTTGAATGTCAGAAGTATTCAATGCTCAGTGTATACAAAAAGTGTAAGACATATGACCAAAATAATTTGCGAAGCTTATTTTTAGTTCCGGAAACCTGTATCGCGGAAACGACATATTCCGCTCGTACTATTGTCTATTTTACGATAAATATACAGCAATAATTAGATGTAGACTAGGTAATGGTAGCAAATATTTGTTCAATTTTAATTCTATATACCGACCGCATATACAGGAACTACACAACAAACAGTGAAATCAAGCACAACACGTTTGGAATGGTGCGCTAGCATTGTGTACGGAAATATAATTTCGTGTATAAAACCGGACCCGGAGGCGGTCCAAAGATATATGGATCCGGAATACGAATCGGAACTTCGAAATATTGATTTTTATTTAAGTTCCGAGCATTAATGCTATTTGATTTTTATGTATATCAAATATAAGTGTTGGGACACGATAAAGTATTATATTTTTGACGGTATGGATAATAATATGACATAATTTTGCCCTTTACGCATTAAAATAGGAATAGGCAAAATGGGGTGGGGGAATGGCGTTCTAACTTCAAGTGAGCGAAATTGCAAAATTTTCACCGGGAACCCCACATTTTTTTATGCTTACCGAAAATCATATATACTTGGCTGTCTTCTGTAAAAGTTTTATAAAATTGACATGGGTTTTGATCGCATTTTTGCTTGTTTTTAATGCATTCGTTTGATGTAAATTTGTTAAAATTACATTTTGAAGAGAATAGATGGCCATGAAAAATGCATAAATATACCAAATATAATCATTTTTGTTTTATTTCTGCGTTTGATAGTACATCACGAGATGTGTAAAAAATATTCAACTTTGTGGTAACTCAAATTTTGCAAATATTATAGAAAACACATTTTTACTTAATTTTCATATTTTGGGGGAAATTTGCAGAAAAGTAGCTACCTTACTGCTGATATATCTCAAAAAGTAAGTCGAGAACCCCCTTTTTTCTTTTCATATATGGAATCTACGTAAAACATGCAAAAAAATAAGCCTAATTAGAAAAAAATTACATGGGTTTTTCCAAAAGGATGGACCCACCTTAAGAAAGTAATAGAACACTATATGACATTCGACAGGTGTATATTGTTCCACCCTGCGGTACTCTTGTTATCCACATGTATTTAAACTGGGATTGTGGTAATAAGATTGACATTATAATTGCACATGCAAAGATAGTATAGATGATCAAGTCACCAAAAATATGTACAGATTATAAGCTGGTTTGATAGTTTCCATCTCTGTATTTTGATGGTCCTGTTTTGGAGTCCTGTTTATTTCATTTCCTGTTCTCTACTGTAACATAAGTTTGACACAATGAACTAGAAAAGAGTTATAATGAAAGGATTCTAAATTTAGTATATTAAGTAGTAATATTTTTATATTTCAGACGCAGCCACTACGTACACGTGATCTTCAGAAACCTTTCCTCGCTGAACAGATTGCCAAAAAAATGGCCCTATTCCATGCCATTAAGGATATGCCTCTTCATAAAGAGCCAAAATTTTTGGAAGAAAAGATGTTCTGGTAATGTATTTTTTTCTTTAACTACGTACTGTAAAAGAATATAATAATCTTCATGCAAAGTGTATCTTGAATTAAGTTATAAATTAATGTAATACAATGTTAAAGATTATGTTGAATATATTTTGATTAGATCGAGATAGAAAAAGTTTTATAAATTAACTTCTGCAAAAAGTTAAGAATTTTTCAGTATTTGAACTTGGCACTGGTTTGACTCCCAGTGTCCTATGTCCTATAATCATTTGTTCCTATGAAAACTTAACCCAGGGATAGAATATCACATTGACTTTGGCGGCATCTTGTGTTTACCTTGAAACATGTTCTGATAATTGTATCTAGATATATTGGTTGTTTCAAGGCTGCCCGCAGTGAATATATCCATCGTGTGTTATCCAAGTAGTGTTATATGTGAACCAAAAATATAAGAAAGCACTGCTTGAGAGATGCCTTCTAGAAGCCACCAGTGTCCTCTAAACAATTTTAAAAAAAAAATGTCATAGAATATTGGGGTATGGAGGGCATGGATAAATCAACTGGGAAGGTAGATCAATATCAAACAAAAATATCTGTCATCAACACTTAGTATAAGACTTGTGTACTGTCTTTATAAACATTTGTTTAAAAAAGTTTTACATTTTCCATCTATAGTGTATGTACAGCTGAGAGGAATACTTAAATGTATGTTTAACATGCAACATTCTGATATTTTGCCATTCAGATATTGTGAAAAATAAATAAAACAACGGTAAGAGGTGGCCATTTGACATAGTTAATAGCTTTTCATTATAGTATGTAGACGCCATACTTACATGTTACCTGGACAGAATATATTTGTGATGAGTTACATGGACAGAATATATTTGTGATGAGTTACATGGACAGAATATATTTGTGATGATCGAGTTACATGGACAGAATATATTTGTGATGATTGAGTTACATGGACAGAATATATTTGTGATGATCGAGTTACATGGACAGAATATATTTTATGAGAATTGAAGCTGTAGACATCTGTTGCATTAATTTCTACTCGGCAATTGCAACAAGACCTTATTATAGTTTTGTATGAACCTTTCAGGCACATGGAGGGTTTATTCCTGGAGTCCTGGATCTCCATCTTGAATCGCTGCTGCTTTATAAATCCAAATTGTAACTGAGCAAATAAGAACCTGAATTCACTGTACCTGTGGAACAGAAGTTGGTTAGTTCCAGCAGTAACTTCCATCTTATTCTCCATTCTGTATGTCTTATGATAAAAACCATGAAACTATGCATGTTTGTTGATGATTATGTTCGTTGATGATATAACCTTAAAATGGTTTGTCATTACCACAATTTATTCTTGTCCTTATATTTAGCTGGATGGAACAGGTGGAAAATATTTTCAGTAACATACCCACAGAAAAAGATGAAGCCTCACAACGAATGCTGTCCAGACTGCAGAGCTTCAATTTGTCAGATGAACTCCAAACATTATTGTAAGTATTTAACATTTGACTGTGCCATTTCTTTACAGTTTAATAGTTACACTGTGATAAAAGTGGTACTGTATATATTTAGAAATGTTAACTTACATCATGTTCTGCAGCGCTTTGGAAATTTCCACTAATGTGAAATGTGTAGAGAATGAAATTATGAAACTAAAGCAACTGCCTACAATAATATCTATATTATCAGTACATGTCACAGTGGAACTGGACCGAGTCGATCGTCGGCAACCAGGTAGCTCAGTGGGTAGAGAATCCATCTAAAGCTCGGAGGGTCCAGGGTTCAAATCCTGGTCTGGCCGTGTAGTGATTTTCCATCTCCTGTTACATCTGGCCGTGTAGTGATTTTCCATCTCCTGTTACATCTGGCCGTTGCATTTCTCTTTCACCTGTTGCACACATATGTAGTCCTAAGCACAATTTCCTCAAACAAATTTGTATGAGCATCATTGTCTGATAGTGTTTAATACAAACATTATAGGTACCTGTCACGTGTCGACAATTAATAGATAATACATCAAAATTATCAGTCATTAACTAAATGTAACTACTTATTTGGTGTGAAACTCTTTTGGGAAGGAGGTGTAAATAGATCATTGTAACATACATTGTGTATCCCTACGCTCTTAATCTTTATAAATAATTGACCTTTAATTGATAAATGATTTATCTAAACGATTATCTAAAAGTACAATAGGCCATACAATAATCTTAAAAGGTCTTGACAGTGAGTGAATAGGGAAAATGTTTTGTGTAAAGTGTTTCAAAAAGTGTTACAAAGGGAAACTAAGAAAAGGATGGTGTAGGTTACTACAATATGTGAAGTGGATACAGCAAGTAGTTGTGTTTGATACAATGTGGAACCTCTGCAAGGAGACTCAGCATCAGGTAAAAGTTAATGGTACACTTTATGGCGGTAGTGTATCGTATACATATTATCAAATGCTCTGATGATGGCACCTGTTTATGAAAAGGGCAGTACCTCTGACCAAATAATTTACTGAAACATTTTAAATCCATACTAAACACCAGATGGTCAAATTGGGTCTCGGCTCAGGTTGGTTTCTGACAAACTGAGCATTTTTTATTCAAGTTTTGCTTTACTGTCAATTACTTGGGGGGAAAAATCAAGAAAAAATAATGCTGTTGTACGTTTCATGGATTATAAGAAAACTTTCGTCTCTAGAGATAGGCAAAATTATGGTATAAAATATGGAAACTTGAAATCAGAAGACAAATAATGAAAACTTTGAGGTCTTTGTAAAACAATTTTTAGTCTTATTTTCAATGTTAAGCTCACCTGGCACGAAGTGTTAAAAACTTTAAACAACTTCTTCTGAATAACCAAAATGCCCAGGGTGATGATATTTGGCCAGTAGCATGCTGGGGTAAAGGGCTATCAAGTTTGTTCAAATGAATGACCTTCACCCATATTCAAGGTCACAGGGGTCAAATATGTTTAAAAACTTTAAACAACTTTTTCTGAATAACCAAAATGCACAGGGTGATGATATTTAGTCAGTAGCATACTAGGATCAAGGGCAACCAAGTTTTTTTTAAATGGATGACCTTGAATCATATCAAGGTCACAAGGAGCAAATATGTTCAAAATATTGAAACAACTTGTTCTGAATAACCAAAAGGATGTTGATATTTAGTCAGTAGCATATGCTGGGATCAAGGACTACTATGTTTGTTAAAGTGTAGGACTTTGACTTATATTCAAGGTCACTGGGGTCAAATTTGTTTAAAATCTTTAAACGATCTCCTCTGAATAACCATGGGTTCCAGGATGTTGATACTTTGCAAGTTGCATCCTGAGATGAAAGGCTATAAAATTTGTTCAACATAATGACTTAATTTGCCTGTAGCTATATTTTAGATCACTTTTAAGGTTACAAGTGTGAGATTTATATCAGGTGAGCGATGCAGGCCCATTGTATTTAACCTACAGAATTGCAACAATTATCACTATTTTCACTTATGCATGAAAATACATGCACATTCCATGTATTGTGATAATCAATAAACTGTATTGCTTAGCTTACAATAATAAAGAATTGGAAAATTAGATATGGCTGACAGAAGTACATTCACCACATAGCTATTTTATGTCTCTGGGGAAATTTAAACTGGATTGTATAGAAATGTAGATATACAAGTTGTACATGTACCATATTGTATGGTAATCAAGATCAGACTTGTTAGTAAGGCAGTGTTGGATTAATGATTATGATTATGTATCTGGGTATTGATCGTGAACGTACATGTATATCCTATTCAGCACAACCTGTTATACATAACATATTCACATTTATTATAAGTACACTAAACTTTTTAGTAATATTCCTTTGAAACTAAATCCATGGCTGCCTGAAGTCGATGAAAACTAAGACGCCACTGTAGGAAAATTGACAGGATGTGAAGCTTGACATCAAGTTTTTCCTTGACATTCCTTGAATGTGTGTTAAGAGCAAGTTTTAAAAGATTAATGTACACATGTGATAAATGTATCTCACATAGATTTTTATGTAAGCAAACATGCTGTGTTTGAACTAAAGGCAAACACTTTAATATTAAAGAACAGAAAATAACAACAATAATTTTCCGCTGTTGAAGGTATGGTGCTCTCTCATTTGGGTCTTACACTTTGCTATCAACCCTGTCAAATATTGTTTCCTAGTAGCTGTAAGGCTTTAGCTTCCTCTTTGGGACTTTGGACTCGGAGGGTTCCAGAGGTTGACATTGGAGGACAAAATTATGATACAACCTGTACTCAGCAGGGTTATCCCCCCTGTCAGACTTAACCATGGTGGCTAGACAGTGATCCAAGTCATGTTTACCTACACATACAGAGCTGGAATGGCTTTCAATTCAAATCACAAATGCTTTAGGAGACTGAAATGTTGTTGTGATTGAAGAACAGCTGCAGGCCATGCCTATTTCACATGGAAATCCAACAGCTCGGGCCACAAACTAATTATGTTGATATAGCTTATAATAGGCTCGCACTATAACATGTGTACTAAAAACTCTGTATTGCTACTGGTTATATTTAGATTTTAAGTACATGTTGAGGGCAACGGTTCTATACATGTATATACATGTACATGTTAATGGTATATCTTAGCTGTTACCAGTCCTACCACAAACAGTACAGGTATATATACATGTACATGTTAATGTTATATAAATCACATATTTTAACTGAATAATCTCATTATGCCATACCAACAACATGGAGGCTTCAGATTGGTCGAAATTCAGATATTGTTCGATTTCACTCAAATTTAGTATGAAGGTGTTTTATGCCATTGTGATCCTTTTCTGATGTATCTTTGCGACTATGGGGGCAGTTTGGGGGACTTCTGTAATGGTCCCCCATTAAAATTAATTCTCTATACACGATATAAAAATTGACATTTTATAATAAAACCATATACACATAGTAATTGCAGGTAAGAGTTATCGTTCTTGAGAAACTTCACAGTAGTGAAATAGGTAGCCGGTTTCCTGAAGTACAGAAAAATGGACACATGTGACTCATTGGGGCTCATGATGGCTCCACGTTTGACTGTACTTGGTAGTAAGCAAGCACTTCTTGACTTTTGTAACCTTTGTGGTGTAAAGGTAGATTTTATTCACGACTTACTCTGTAAGCATCCTCATAAACTTCGTTTGTAATGATCAGTAATGTAAGTACACTATTTAGCTAAGTAGGTATTCTCACATAACACCTAATGGGCTGATATATACCATCCTTAGATGTATGCTTTTTATTGGAGGACAAAGCTCACAGAAACATTAAAATAAGAAATTTAATGATGAAATTCTCTAATTTAGATCAAGACCCAATACTTTTAGGCTCTTAGATAAACAAACCACTTTACATGTGCTGGCATTATCATAAAACAGTTGTAGAAGGGACAGAATGCAGACTCCGATTGGTACACTGTCATTCAGTGGTGTTGTACTAAAAACTACAACAAAGACTTAATTGACTATAACACCCAAGAACAACATTATATAATTATTTTGATAGACATGTGATATTTTTATGTCAAAATGCTTTAATGATCAAATATGATAAAACAACATTATTTTCAAATTTTGATCCCGTCTTATGATACTAAGAGGACAAATTTATTTTCTATAAAATCAAACTATTCAATAAATGAAAATCTAACTGTTTGGGCATGAAATACTAACGCAGGCACTTCATAGAAGTTGAAGATTCAAATGTAGCAGACAAGAATAAGAATTGGATGATGATTACAAAGTGAGGAACTTTTATTTCTTCTACAATTTTTATGCCATCAAATGATCAACTCGTTGTCTTTTTTTTCAAACCGATGAATGTGAGTCTGAATAGGAATTTGTGTGAGGTTGTTAGTTTGCTAATTGATATGGACACAAAGGTTCCAAAGGGCCCATATCGCTCACTTTTTATTGAACTCAAATTTTGACCTAAAGGTTTCAAGGTCATCTTTCTTCAAATAGGCTAGCTAGTTTCATTACACTTCACATAATGGATCTTTCTTGGAAAATTTCAATGAAATACAACGGTACCTTGTGAATCTTTGTTTTAATATATTATTAACTAACATTGCTTATGCGACCATCAAAGTTGGCTGGTCAAGGTCATTAATCCCATACTACATATCGCTTACACCATTCAACTAAAAAACTAATATCCTGACCCTAGACCTCTTGCTTACTCCAAAGACGTAGTTTAACCCTTGCATTTGTAATCTGGAAAGTGGTTCAAGGTCATTCATTGGAATAATTTGATAACCCATCATCCTTGACCTCTGGGTCACCCAGACCTAATTGTTGGAAACTATTATATGAAGATGAAGGCAGCTTGTGTAAACAGGGCCTCCAAAAGTAATTGTACTTTATAGATATCAGATATTTTGTTTTCTACAGTTGAGATATTGCTTATATTCAATGAATGAACTTTTTGATTGTCATCTTGTACATCCTTAAACACATTTTCTGCACTATTTAGTAAACGTTAAAGGAAATGACTTGTACTGTGATAATGGACAATTTGAAAATATTTCGTCATGAGTGAATAGACAAGCTGTATACAAATGAAGGTAATCACTGTTGTACACTCCATAACCTGTCGAGAGTCACTGCCAGGTAAACCGGAGATCTCGAGTGTGTTTTTGAAAAAACAGGCTATATACCATACCACTGACAAAAACTCTAAGTGTTAAAAACTGTTTTTTTCTATCATGACTAGAGCTTTGATAAATCAATTGTGACAGGAAAATCATACTTTGTGTGACTTTTTTTTAGAAATAATAAAGATGACATTAACAAATAATAATCAATAACAGCGTTCTAAACGAAAAAATCAGCGGGGCTAGACCAGGAACGGAACCCTGGACTTCAGATTGATCTACTATCCCTGTAACCAATTGAGCTACCTCGGCAACGGAGGTGTCTTGGTCGAACTGTGGTTCAGTTATGTCCAAACAGAAGTTAGGGAGGTGCATGTATGTAGGAAAAACCAATGTAAAAAAATGTAAGCCTTGTAGTAGTTTATATGTATGTGGGTGAATGTGTTTGTACATTAAGTTTGTTTTCATAAAATTAATGAGTAATCCTCGATATCAAAACATGTTATTTCCTGTTTGATGCCTGTAAAACCTGATGGTTTATAATATACATGTCATTTGAAAGATAGTATAAACTGTATCAGTAATATAAACCACTTTGAATACACATGTTAGTGTTGGACTTCAGCATTAACTCTTCAGTACTGTTTACACCACATGGCATCAACAAACAAATTTTGTTCTCCCAAAAGCTCTTTGTCATCAATAAAACAATGTGTTTCAATAATTCATAGAGTTAAAGCTAAAAAGGATGTCAGGTACATTTAATGCTATATATAGTATTGATCAACTAAAAAATCAAACATAATAGCAGAGCTCCTACACAGCTGCGAACCATGGAAAATGACAAAGGGAGCCAAAAAATTCTTGACACCTTCCTACACAAGTGCCTCAGAAAGATTCTAATAATCTTTTATAACAGGCCGAGAAAAGTGTCCAATGAAATAGTGAGAAAAACAGTAGGGGTAAATAAAATCAGCACCTTGATAAAGAAACTCCGCCAGCAATGGTTAGGACATGTTCTAAGGATGGAAACTAACACACACCCATGCATCTCACTCGGATGGGCACCGGAAGGAAAAAGAAAGAGGGGAAGGCCGAAAGAGACATGGAGGAGAACCGTTGAAAGAGAAAGGGAAATCTGGGTTTTGGGTCATGGACAGATCAGCCCAGGACAGAAACACAAGGAGAGGACTTGTCCATGGCCCTATTCTCGGAGAGAAGGAATTAGTCATAGTATCAACTAAGTGACTGTTCTTCAGTCACTAAAACGGATACCAATATCAAAGTAACGTAACAGGGATAGGGAAAATGCAAATGGTCAGAGAGGGATTGGAACCTGCATGCCATGGGGCATTCAGAATCATAAATTATTTACCAAGTCTAACCCCACTACCGGTAGTCAACTTTCCATACTATTTCTATTAGTCTTTGCTGGGTACATCATAATTTTAACCCAAGTTACGGTACAATATGCTTAATGTTGGTCACAAGCACAAATTCATGATTAATATGGGAAAACTTGCCACCCTGCAAAATCTATATGGATGCACCAGTTATTTTAGCCGCATGGTCACTGCTTATCAATTAGCTCATGATCTGTTGGAATTCAAGTTAGCATACCTAATCTATAAAAAAAATATTTCATGTCTATTCGTATATCAAATATGTTTTATGTGAAGGAGCAGTTTCATTATTGTTGTCATTAATATTGTCTTCCAAATTTAAGTTCGCTTTGTCAAGTTTACCGGCCCAAATTATATATGTTGGGTAAAGCTGTAATACAGTACAGGTAGCTTCAGAACTACGTGTTAGCTAGCAGGGGAAGTTAGAGATAAATACCCTGAAAAGTTACTGTGCAATTCCAACCCCTGCTGTTTGGCACATGATTTCGAATAAATAAGATAAAGTCGTGACATTTTCTGTGTGTCAAATCACCTCCAATAACATTCCGATGTGGCTGTATTTACTTCTGACCTGAGGACTCTGTCAGGGCAGTAGATTTCTACGGGGTTAGCAGTGGTTGTGATGTGTTTTAGAGTGTTTGTATTTACAGTGGTAAAACTCGGTGTAATGATTATAGCATAGATGCAGGTTAGAATGAATTCCCTTCAATTGGTTTTCAGATTGTCTTTAATTTAATTGCACATACATTAAGCCTTAAACCTATTTGACATATCACAAAAGGTCTATGATGGAAAATTGGGGGAATTCTGTAGGCAGTCATGGTGGTGTCATTCTATAAACAAGTATTCACAACCAAAAATGCTTTAAGAGTTTTGAGCAGATTTGAAAAAAATTCATTGGTGTAAAACTAAATAATTCGTGACATATCAGACCAATTTTGACGGTCAGTCATGTGATGCCCTGTGACGTCATTTGACTAAGACCTACATTTTTTTATAATTCTGTATTCAACAACAATATTTGGCTTGTTGTGCTGGTTTTGAGGCAATCATGTGATTATTGTATGACAACTTAGTACCAAAGAAATGTTTTACAATGATTTGTTTTTAACGGCATAGAGGATGTAGAATGTGGTGGAGGGAGTCTTTTGACTGACGCACGGACATCGCATATGTACAGTTCAATTTGTACAGCCTTCACATACATTCCAACAACAGTCTTGTAACACATATTTCATTATGTGGGTGCTACTATACCGGTTTAAAATCCACTTCTCCCAAACCTGCGAGCTAATTTTGCCGTGACCCCACAAAAATGATAAAACGAAGAAAATTGTAAGTTGTTTGCAAAAGTTGGGTTTAATTTAGTTAATTGAAAAAAAAAATTAGTCATATGTTTAGGATAATTTATCGATAACAAATGTAATCGGATTTGCTTTGATATAAACATGTATGGAGATGAAGGCAGAATGTGTGAACAAGGCCTTCAAAAGTACTCGATGTACTTGTATAGATATTAGATTTTTGGCTTTCTACAGTTGAAGTATTGCTTATTTAATGAATGACAAAGTTTAAGATTGTCACTTTGTACTAAAACCCATTTTCTACACCATTAAGTCAAAGTTAAAGGAAATAACTTGTGATAATGAACATTTTTATAACAAATTTCGTCATGAGCTGATGGACAAGCTGTATGCAAACGTAAACACCGATGTCAAGGGTCTCTGCCAGGTAAACCAGAGATCTCCAGTTTGATTATTAGTCACAAACAAGATATAACACGTGTACGTCATCTCAGATATGAAAAAAATATATACACAGGTGAACACCTATACATGTAGATAAGCTATATACACAGGTGAACACCTATATATACATGTAGATAGGTTATATACACAGGTGTACACTCTATATACGCAGGTGTACACTCTATATACGCAGGTGTACACTCTATATAAGCAGGTGTACACTCTATATACGCAGGTGTACACTCTATATAAGCAGGTGTACACTCTATATAAGCAGGTGTATATATACATAGATAGGCTATATACACCGTTGTACATGCAATAAATAGGCTTTATACACACTGTGACAGGTGTATATACCCATAGATAGGCTATATACACAGGTGTACACACCATAGCTAGGCTATATACACAGGTGTATGCTCCATAGATAGGCTATATACGCAGGTGTACACTCCATAGATAGGCTGTATACACAGGTGTACACTCCATAGATAGGCTATATAAACAGGTGTACACTCCATAGATAGGCTATATACACAGGTGTACACTCCATAGATAGGCTATATAAACAGGTGTACACACCATAGATAGGCTATATACCTAGGTGTACACTCCATAGATAGGCTATATACACAGGTGAACACTCCATAGATAGGCTATATAAACAGGTGTACACTCCATAGATAGGCTATATACACAGGTGTACACACCATAGATAGGCTATATATATACTATATATATACATAGGTGTACACTCGATTGTGTTCACTCAATAGATAGGCTTTATACACAGGAATAAACAGTTTGGCGGTATCAAGCAGCCTCAGAATTTACATTGAGCTCACCTAGCTTTTAGGTATATACTAATATGTATCATGCAAGGTTTCAAAAACTTAAATATCAGTGACGACTTGTGTTTCATGCACTCACAAATCACATAAACTGAGACTCAGATAAGATCATGTGATCTTCCACGATCAACTGGATATGATAATTAAGTATGAATAAACACAAAAAATAGTCGTTATCAGGAATGATAATAAACTGAGTCAATCTTTCTTTCAGAAACATCTTAGGAAGTGTTTCCTGTCCAGTGGTATTTTCCCACAATGATTTGCAAGAAGGTAAGTTTTGACCAATATGAAATCATATGAAACTACAAATAAAGTCAACCTCTGGAAGTAGATTTTTAACCCAAAATGTTACAAATATACTGTATATCGAGAAATTTTCGTCCAGTCAAACTTTCACCCTTCGCCTGTGAAATCCAATTTCACCTTTCACATCTATTTTTACTATGTAAATTATGATGTTGGCTATTGTTGGCTATATTGATAAATTCCGCTTCATTCTTAGGAAAGACAAAAATTAAACAACAGCGAAAATTTTACTTCTATACAGTAATCCGTTCCCGTGCTGCCCTCATACAATGTTTTATACGACTAATGACAGTAGTCAGCAAAGAAAAGTCGCATAAGACTGCAGAATCTCAAAATAATCAAAATTTACATTTTCATTTTTAGCGCACTGGGTCTGAAGGACCAAGGTGAGCTTATGCCATACTGTGGCGTCTGTCGTCCGTATGTCAACAATTTCTTTAAACAACTTAATTCTTCTTCTTCTAAACCACTGATTGGAATTCAACTAAATTTGACTGGAAGCATTCCTATGTGGTGGGGATTCAAAATTGTACAAATGGTGGGGCTGACCCCTCAGTGGGCTGAGGGGGGAAGCCAAAAGGGGGCAATTTGGCTACATTGCTTCAAGCGACTTCTTTGGAACTAAGTGATGGATATCAGCCATATTTGACTGGAAGCATCCCTAGGTGGTGGGGATTCAAAATTGTACAAATGGTAAGGCTGACCCCCAGGGTTCTGAGGAGCGGGGCCAAAAGGGGGCTATTTGGCTATATTGCTATAAAGACTTCTTCTGTAGAACTATATACAAATGCTGGACATAAAGAGACGAATGCAGTCATGATATTAGAATAGACCCTGGGGTCTGACCGAACCCCTAGAGACCTAGTTTTTAGCTCACCTGGCACGAAGTGCCAAGTGAGCATATGCCGTGGCGCGGTGTCCGTCCTCCGTCCGTCCGTCCTCGTCCGTCAACTTTTCCTTTAAACAACTTCTTCTGAAGAACGGACAGTCCTAGAGTCATGATATTTGGCTGAAAGCTTCGTTGGTAGGAGCCCTACAAAGTTTGAGAACGAAAATGACCTGTTTTCAAGGTCACAGGGGTCAAATATGTCAAAAACTTTAAACAACTTCTTCTAAAGAACTAAAAGGTATAGAATCTTCATATTTGGCTGATGGCTTCCTGGCATAGAGCCCAACAAAGTTTGAGAATGAAAATGACCTTGACCTACTTTCAAGGTCACAGGGGTCAAATGTGTCAAACACTTCAAACGACTTCTTCTGAAGAACTGAAAGGTATAGAATCTTTATATTTGGCTGGTGGCTTCCTGGGATAGAGACCAACAAAGTTTGAGAATGAAAATTAGTTTGACCTACTTTCAAGGTCACAGGGGTCA